CCACCCCCTGTGAACAAACTCATTGGTGGAACATGAAGGTGGACCCTGGGACCCAGACCTTGAGCTGTGTAAAGGGCCCCCAAAAAAAGGAGCTGCTTCTCGTTCTCCCGGAACATTGATTTTTGTGACCACAGTTACAAACAGCCTCCAGAGATCCTGTTATACACCAGACCAGTGGAGCCAGACTGCAGCTAGAGACCATCATCATCCTCATCTGGTTGTAAGTAGGCAATCTAGTATATTATTCGTGGCACTAAGCTCTAATTTACCTCACATTAAAGGACCACTATAGTCCCCAGAACCACTGCAGCTTAATGTAGTGGTCCTGGTGTCTATAGCCTGTCCCTGCAGGCCTTTTAATGTAAACACAGCGGCACTACAGCACTATCGTTAGTTAACATGACAGGTCATATGGGTGGGGCATTGTGATGTCAAGGGGGGGGGAAGGGCGGCAAACTTTACTTTTGCCTAGGGCGGCAAAAATCCTTGCACCTGCCCTGCCAGAGATGATGAAGAACTATTGGGATTTTTTTTCCTAATTTACAGTCATGTCTCCCTTCCATAAAACCATATCTTTTTCATGCTATCTGTAAACCATTCTTTACTTCTTATAAGCTATTTTTTTTCTGAGACACCCATTTATCATCAGGTGTTCTTTTTTACCTTCTCACCTGTTACATTATTTCTCAGAACTTTTTTTAATTTCCACCATTTCATTTTTACTTTGATTCATAGCCACATCTTCCCTTCTTGGTCCTATCTTTTTTGACCATCTATATCACTTATGACTCCTTATATCACTTATGACTCCTACCTTATTGAAGTGGTGAGTTGTGCAGTTCTTTGCAGGTTTTCGAACAAGTCACAGTATCATGTATTGTGATATACAGCATTGATGGATATTTTGAGCATCCAGTTATGCCCCATTCAGCCTGGATTTGACTCTTGCAGATGACCACCCTCCCTCAGCCTCTCCATGTGTCTCATCCTCCCACCAGCCCCCTCATATGTCTCAGTCTCACCCCAGCTTCTCAATGTGTCTCATCCCCCCAGCTCCTACATGTCTCATTCTCCCCCAGTCTCTCCATGTGTTTCATCCTCCCATCCAGTTCCTCCTGGGTCTCATTCCCCCAGCCCCGTGTGTGCCACCCCCCCCCACCCCCGTTCATTCATTAACCTATTTAAATTCTATGTACACAATTACGTGAGCAAGCAGCATGGCCATAATATTGATATAAAATAACTGTTTAGTATTTAACGTGCTCTGGTATTGGATTTTCTGATGGACTGAGACCACTCATCATTCATTAACTATTACACCCTATAAGAATACAAATTGTAAACACACTACCTCTACATCAAATACATAGAGATGCTAGTGGCTAGAGAAGCACCTATACTGGCAAATGGAATCTCCTTGGCATTATTCTTAGGAAATTCCTAACATTTTCCCAGGGCGAAGTCTGACTCACGATATACCTGTCTGTGCTCATTTCATGTCGAGTTTGAAATTGTTTGGAAGTGTATGACATGATTTTTCTGGATTTCTGCACCTAAGGTTGGCTTCCAAATGACCATCTTGAGATTACAGGTGATGAACAATATTTGTTTTTGTATTTGCATAAAACTGTGGTTACATGTATTGTGTTTGACCTCACAACAAATTATTTGGCACCAAAAAAAAAAATGCTTACAGACTTGGATGGAAATCCTCTAAGCTTTTCACACAGAATCCCCTAATTTTACCACAACAGGAGGCTTCATATTTTGCATTAAGCTCTGTTTACCGAATTCCAGCAGTTTAGATCACTATAAAAAACAAACACACAATCAGAAAAGAGTTAACATGAGATGGCTATTTTCATGGATGCCTGGGTTCTTCAGGCAATGCAAGAGTATGTCATAAAATTCCACTTGCGTCCCAAATAGAGATCTCCTCCACCTTGTTTATGGGTCTTCAGGAAACACAAGATCCTCATCAACGAGGAAATCCATACCCTGTTTTACAAAAATTTAGTTCTCACCAAATGCAAATTGTTTCTTCAGCAACATTTTCTTAACTTCGCTTGGTCCGTACAAATTTACGTGTCTTCCCTTAAGGCTCGGCTCTGCCCTAGGGTGCTTCACAAAGCTGCTGAAACCAGTTATGGCTCACACGTGGTCCAAGGGCATTCAGTGCCTTATTTACCTGGATAACTTGTTGAGCTTGCCGACTGTGCTCCCAGATAAAATTCATCATTCACTTTCTGAAGTCTTTAGGTTTCATAGAAACATAGAAACATAGAATGTGACGGCAAATAACAACCATTTGGCCCATCTAGTCTGCCCAATTTTCTAAATACTTTCATTTGTCCCTGGCCTTATCTTATAGTTAGGATGGCCTTATTCCTATCCCACGCATGCTTCAACTCCTTTAATGTGTTAACCTCTACCACTT